CAAAAACACCCGCTGTCTAAAACCACGTGTGGTACCTATCATTGCTTCTGCCAGAAAGGAAGCACTTGATAAACTCTCTCACACTGAAGTATTGGCACCTTTATGATTTTATCTCCATAATGATTGTCTCTTGTTTTGAAGAGGAACTCAAGGGGCCGGAGCGATGGCTCAGCAATTAAGAGCACTTGCTGCTCTTCCAGAGAACTGAATTTGGTCCCTAGCATCCCCGTGGTAGCTCATGAGCATCTGTAGCTGCAGTCCTAAGGCCATGATGCCCTCTACGGGCACTGCACACCTGTGACACAAAATACTCACACACACAAAATAAGAAAAGTCAGAAAGGAACTCTAGAACGTGAGGCATCAACACGAATGGCCCCCAGTGTCAGCATGCGGTCTATTTTATATATGTTGAGTGCCCCCAAGACATCTAACTTAGCCCTTAAGAAAAGGCACCCGGCAGGGATGAAATGAGTGACTTAATGTCTTTCTTTACCGGGCCTGGTTGGCTGCCAAGAGGATCCTCTCACAAGAGCTGTCTCCATTCCCAAGGCCAGCAGGCAGGAAGCCATTAACCCAGGCCCCAACATTCTAACCAGGAGAAGAGGGAACGACAGGGAGGACGAGAACTAGCCTTTACGTGATGAGGGCGCCAAGTGTGAGGAAAGCTCCTTCCTGTCCCAGACTCGAGGCAAAGGCCAAGAAGGTCCAGGAGCTGGCGATAGCAGGGTTCCCCAGAAAAGAGAGCCCACATGTCAGCTGCTTACAAAAACCACATGGCTCAGGGAATAGCCAAGGTATTGTTGGAAGCCTGTCCCCAGAAGAAACAAGCTTGCCTACTGTTCCCTCGTCAAACTCTCCTGACCCCAACCCATGATGAAGACCAAAGACAGCAGTATAACCCCCCATGGGGTCAACGGCAACATTGTCGGCCAATCAGACCCATAGGTGAAGGCAAGGTCAGTGACCAGCTGGGGGGAGCCAGACGCCTGTGTCCCCCCCCCCTCCTGCTGGGGTGCGCCGGATGCTGCTAACAGAATTGGCACCGCCTCAGTGGAGCCTTGCCAGCTAGGCCTAATGCAAATTTTCACCATCAAGGGGAGGGGACCACAGCTAGACAGAGAAATGTTCACTACTCCGATTTCATCGTTCTTCATGGGCTACATGTGTCCACTCAACCATACCCTACCCTACAGACACATTCGTTCAAAAATCACAGTGCTGGGGTCCTTGCCTAGCACACACGAGGCTCTGAGTTTGATTCCTAGCATTGCAAACAACACACACACACACACACAAAACCAATGAGAAAGCAACAAATCCATATAACCGCTTTTTTAAAAAGACAGGGAGTAACCGAGGGCGAATGTAATAAAAAAAATCGTAATGTGCGTGTGTGAAAATGTCATGCTGAAACCCAATATCAGGCACAATTTAGTATAAGCTAATGACCGCATTAAGTATTTTTGAAGGGCTGAGACTGTGGACAGCTGTCCCGTCTTCTTGCTGTGGTTGCCTTGAGGCTGGAGCGGCCCTGCTGACACAGTCCTCACTGTGGCCTGAGAACAGCTCGAAAGTCAGAATTCCACCCAGATGAGTTTGTTGTTTCGGGTTCGTATTCGTCACTGGCTTCCTGGCCCCCACACACGTAAAAATGAGGCTGGGCGTTATTTTGATCTTGGGAAACACCATGTTTCCCAGGAAAATCTGCCTAGCCATTTCCCTTTGCCTGATAACTGGTTTTAGGCACCTCCCTCCAAAGAGATGTGGTAACAAGTATGGATACATTATGCAATTTAGAAGCTATTATTTCATTGAAGGCTGGAAAGAAGTAGACCATTGTTGTGGCTACTGAGGTGTTTGCACTAACACAAAATAGTTTGTGTTCACTCCTGGTAATTCTTCGGCAGTGTGTATTTGTTTATTTATTTATTTATTTATTGGTTTTTCGAGACAGGGTTTCCTCTGTATTGTTTTGGAGGCTGTCCTGGAACTCGCTCTGTAGACCAGAGCTGGTCTCAAACTCACAGAGATCCGCCGGCCTCTGCCTCCCTAGCGCTGGGATTAAAGGCATGTGCCACCAACGCCCGGCTCGAATTTATTTCTAATTAGTGCATGTGCATATGTCTGTATGTGGGCACGTGTAACGTGTAGTCTTGCCACCAGTCACTTGGGTCCCGTTGCCGCTTTAGCTCCCCAAATAACACCACATGAGACACTATATTAATTATGAAGATGTTGCCCGTTTGCTATGGCTTCTAATCAGCTAGCTCTGACTTAATTATTAACCCATAATTACTAACATATATTTCTATAAGGACTTATCTTTCGGAGAACACCAGACTTGTGATCTCTCCTCCTGGGATCACAGGGCGACGACTCTCTTCCCTACATTTCCCAGAATCCTCCTCGACTCCTAGTCCCACCTATCTTGCTTCCCTATTGGCCAACAGTGCTTTATTCATCAACCAATAAGACAAACACATATAGACAGAAGGACTTCCCCCATCACAGGTACCGACCGTGGTGAATGGATGAGCTAATGGGGTTAGATCCTTAAACAACTACGATAAAAGAAATACTCTTTGCTTCTGCATCAAAACGGGCCTCTTGGTAATTTTGGGGTTCAGAATTTGGGCACAACAGGACGAGATGCGGAGACCGCACAACGTTCAGCTCTAAAGGGGATCATGTGTACTGCAACCCTCACCCCAGGCCCAGACATCACTGGAAGAGGCAGCAGGAAGCATGTACGAGGAGCTTGAGGTAGTCGATGATGAGCACGAGGAAATGTCACCACCCGTGAAGTCACAGCAGTTGTGACAGCATGGACGAACCCGAGCAAAACCAAGCCAGACCAAGAGCCAGCCAATCCCACCCTAAGCCACGGATCTGTCGGGACTTGTCAGCTGCTGGGAGTGGGGCAGGCAGTTGTCACTGAGGTCAGCCCCCTTAAAGTTGGCCGTGCTCCAGTGCAAGAGCACACAGCCGAGAGCAGCTGGGAAGGACAAACTGGTCTTGGAAGGCATAAAAAAATTAAAAGGACGCAAAATTGGGTGGGTGAGCAAAGGGGGAGGGGCAGATATGACCAAAACACGCTGTATGAAACTCTCAAAGAACTTAAGAGGCAAAAGATGAAAGTGCACGCTGAAATCATGAACTTGATTGGTACAAGAGGAGGTAAAAGTGTCTTTGTATCGTGGGAAACCATAGGACTTCCAGATAAAATGAAATTTCGACTGAGTCGCAGTGCCTCGGGCCCGTCTGAACTAGCCACTCTCTCTGCAGCTGCTGTCACCAGACCCTGTCATTTAGGGGCCTTCTGCCGATGAAATTGTTCCTTAGTAGTAAGTTACAGCACTGCACAAGCTTTCAAGGTATTAAAACTCCAGATTCTGAATCACTGATGAGCCAGGTTTCCAGGGGTGGCCACCAGTGGTTCTAACTGCTTTCTGTGTAAGGTTCTGCATAGCGCTAGACGCCACACGTACACTTCAGACAGGTATGCAGACTGAGTGATAGTCTTTCACCTTAAACTGCATAGGAGGGAGCAGTTCAAGCCCAACGCAAAGTTAGAAGTTGCCTGTCTCTTCCAGAACTCATAGAGTCAGCTCTTGCTTTATCTGGGTGTGGGCTCTTCTTCACTCTGGGGCTAAGCTGTAGACACCATTCATGCTTGCTTCTAACTTTGTAGTTTGAACAGAGAATAGAAGACAGTTCAGTGACACGGCTTCTGTGTCCTTCATCTGGATTCTCACTTAATATTTTTCTTCTGCGTTTGCCTTCTGTCCTGCTAATGTTTTTATCCATAATTTGTGTATTGCTATGCACGTATATACTATGCATATATGATGTGTATATGGGTATATGCACAATATATATGTAACCACGTTTGCTTAGCTATTGGAGGAGGAGTTGCAGCTGTCACAGCCCTTAACTGCTAAATACACTAGTGTGCATTTCCTATTCCTATTTTCTTACCCAGAATGTAATAAAAAGTAAGTTCAGGAGCTTTGACAAGGCAAAACTCAATTAGCAGCTGTATGGCTTTGACCCCAATGTCACCAACTGTCACTACTGTCTTTGCTGTTGTTTCCAATCCAGGATCACCGTGTGTTTAATTGCTGTGTCCTTTCCGTTACCACTCACACTGGAACTCTTCTGCAACTTCTGCGGCTACTGACAGCTTTCAGGAGCACAGGGCAGGGGTCTTGTAGCATGTCCTCTGTGCTGGTTTGTTGGATGGCTGATGGCCTCAGGCCGTGCTTCCTGGCAGCTGTGTCACAGAAGTGGGGTGGACGTAATCACTGCCACACACACAGAGACAAGGGTGCTAGCTGGTCCCGCTGCTGTTGACATTAGCTGCCCCTTTAGGTTAGACATTGTGCCTGCCAAATCTTGCTATGGTAAACACAAAATTCCCCTCCTACTACGGGAAGACACTTTCCACACACGCATATTCACCTTTTCTACCTAAATATCCATCCTAGGTTTATTTAGCAAAACAAGTGTTGCAATTGTCTTAATTGCTGGTGGCAATGGCGGCCTCGCCTGCGGTACTTTTCTATCAATCCTTCTAGGTTTATTCGTTGTTATTCTGTTACAAACAAAAAAGTTTTTAATTCCAACTGTCTATGCATCTGCCCACTTACCTACCTCTCCTTCCGTCTAACTGGAATTAGTGTGGGATACACGGATTACTTCTAATTGATTCGTTATTATAAATAACAGGTTTTTACATCCTTAACCTTCTATGGTCTCCCTGCACCTTACTTAAAGTACTCCTAACATGATACAAACACTACCTCACATGGAGTGTTTATTTTAGTTTTGTCAAAGCCATCCGCAAAATTTAATTTTGAGAGTGTTTTTCATGTGACTCTCCCCAAACAGATGTGATTAACTTCTGAATCAAAGGCTGCTTTTGCAACAAATCCATTCCCTTTTACCCGGTGTGAAGCATCGCTGTGATTTTATCTCGCTGGTTTCATGCAGATGGCTGCTAAGAGGAACACTGAATGTGATCGGGACCTCGCAGACGTTCTGGAACCCAGTGATCTGTCTTGATCCCGGCTCTTCTTAAAGATCTGTATTCAGGTGTTGGCTCACACGGTCAACTAGGCCCACAGGTGGTAGTTATTTATTTGTTTTTTATTTGATTTATGTGTCTGAGTGCTCATGTGTATATATGTGTGCCGTGTGTGTACCCGGATGCCAGTGAGACCAGAAGACAGCATCAGAGCTTCCAGAGCCTGAGATAAAGGTGGTTGCAATCTGTCCTGATGG